CCACTAAACTCAAGAGTTCGTCAAACTCAGTGATAGTTAAGTGCGTGTCATCTGATTCGCTATTATTTGTCTTTCGAGGCAAAAGACATGTCCAGAGATGCTCTCGACGGCAGTCGATGGCCGCGGTCTTGACTGCTTCGGTCAGTTGTGTCTGAGTCTCGTTAGCCCTGTCCTGAAGGATCTGCAACATCATAGTCTCATGACTGCTAAAGTATCCCAAATAAGTGATCTCTTCGTCACAAATGCCAGTCGAAGTGGACAACAATGGTATGGATTTGGGCGCGAATTTGTCCACTGGTTTAGTGATCATTACACTCGAAGTGCTAACTGTTATCTCTCTCATGCTTTGAAATGAATTGTCAGTAAACGATCCGTCACTCAGATTGGGATCAGTAATAGTACTACTCTTTCGGGAATGGGTTTCACTCGACGGTTGAGATGAATAAAGACGAATGGGTTTAAAGAATCCCTTAGAGTTGGGACCGAAATGACTGCTAAACCGTTTGGGAAACAATTCCCTTTGACTCGTCAACAGAACAAAGAATTTGAGAGAAAGTGTGTTATTATTGTTGCAGAAGTCGTGAGTTATAAGAACTCCGACATCAAAGTTGTCGACCTGTCGGATGTCATTTGTGTCCTTATAGGGCACTCTATGGCTCGATAGCTCGACCAATACATACTCTGTAGTCTATGTGTAATAAACTAGAGTTATATTCTGTTAACAAATATAATACTTGAAATGAATACCAATTCGATGTTATCTTCGGAAGAAAGGGGAGAATTCACGCGAAAGACTTTCATTCCATACAATTCGTTGTGACTTATGATGTAATTATACAACTGTTGTGACGGCACACAAATGTTGGGAATCACTATTTGGCCTACAATTACAAAAAGAGTTAATACCAAGAATAAGATGAACAGTGTGTTGAAAAAGTACCAGAATAGACATAATTGCGCGCATAGTTGGGTGCCTTTTGGTAGTACTTAATGAAATCATCGAGAAATGATGTCAAATGGTAAC